TTTTAGACGAAAAATAAGAATATTATAAATTTTTTAAAAATGGGCGCAGCCACGACGACTTATGGTTACATGTTTATATCTTGGCAATCTCTCCACCAATTTCTTCCAAACTTGGCACAGTTGTTGGCCTTAGTACAGCTTACTAAATGGCTGAAAATTTTAAAAATCGGACAATAACCACGCCTACCTCCCATATAACGGTAATTTTCAGAAAAACGAAAACTGCGATATTTTAGTAACTACTGAAGATAATTCACTCAAAATTGATATTTACAATAATTTTTAGACGAAAAATAAGAATATTATAAATTTTTGGAAAATGGGCGTAGCCACGCCCACTTATGGTTACATGTGTATATCTTGGTAACCGCTGCACCAATTTCTTCCAAACTTGGCACAGTTGTTGGCCTTGGTACAGCATACTAAATGGCCGAAAATTTAAAAAATCGGACAATAACCACGCCCACATCCCATATAACGGTAATTTTGAGAAATACAAAATCTTCGATAAATCAATAAATATTAAAGCTAATTTATTCAAAATTGGTGGTTGCAACAATTATTTTTATGATAAAATTTTGGAAAATGGGCGTGGGACCGCCCATTTGTGATCACATATATGTATCTCGCTAACCGTTCTAGCAATTTGTACCAAACTCGTTATGGTTATTGTGCTTGCCACATAAAAGCAAAAGTTTAAAAATTATTGAAATCGGACTAAAATTACGGCCGCTTTTCATATAACGGTAAATTTCAAAAATGCTTGAAATTTCAATATTTCGAAATTTAAGGACGCTAATTTACTTAAAATGTATACACCCCGGCTTATCATGTAGCGGTAGGTTTCGGAAAGGTGAAAATCATATATTTAATACTTGCGCCGGGTATTTAATGTTCGGCTCCGCCCGAACTTAGACTTTCTGACTTGTTTCAATAAAAAAATCCTAGTCGGCGAGTGCTTAACATTTAAACTTTTTTGGGCCACCCTAAAGCAAAAAAGTTATCAGAATTTCTTTTGAATACATTAAGCGCGCACAAAGCGCTATTAAATCGAGATTTTGGTTATCCGACACCTTAAGGCGCTTCAAGCAAGTGAAGTCAAGCTGTCACCTGGCCAACTTTCATACATTGTTGTTATGTTCAATAATTTTCTGACAGTTCTCAAAGCGAAGTAAGCAAAGCAAGCGTGCATTGGGACAATAACTTTAATTTTCAATGACGTTTACTCTCCCAAGTGCTATGCATATATACAACGGGTCCCTCTGAATACCTTGATTTTCTCGATACTGAATCTTGGAAGTTTTGCAAAATTCGAAAGAGAGAAAATAACTGTAAATGGTTTTAAATTTATTTAGTTTATTAAGAATGTACAACTAAATATGACATAATGGATAATTAGATTTTAACTTGTCTTGTATATTTAGGGTTGGACAAGGTGTGACGGAAAATCGTTCCGCAATATATCGCACGTTTAATAATATAGAGATGTAACTCACAATTTACGATTTTGGAGATTTCATCATACAATTAATAAGATTGATAAGTAGAATATGTTTAACCTAACAGATGAAAAAACTTCCCAAAAGTGGCAAAGATGTGCGGCTTGCCGTGTGTTTTTCTTTTGGTGTACTAACTGTATGAGTTGATCAAACTTTGATTGCGTTTTCCCACAAAACTGATATTTCGAAATAATTCCGACAAGGGCACTATTTTCACCCAACAGTTTAATGGATGAAATCTACTTTGCATGGAGTTTAACTGGTTGGCTGAAAAAAATCCTGGCCAGCATATTTTCAGTTAGTAAATCAAAAGTTATTATATTTTTATAATTTTGCACTCATTTGTTTAATGAACAAATTATAAATATACCAATCGAAAGCATAAAGCCTATAGAATGTGTTAAACAGATGAGTGAAAGTTACTAGTATTACCTACCTGTTCATACCTGCCAACCCGATAGGTAGGTCAGGGCAAAAATAGATAACCCAACGTTTTCACATTCCATAGGCTTAATACTTTCGATTGGTATATAATTTTACATTAATCGAATGAGTACAAAATTAAAACAAGTAAGAAAGTCTAAGTTCGGGCGGAGCCGAACATTAAATACCCAGCGCAAGTATTAAATATATGATTTTTACCTTTCCGAAACCTACCGCTAGATAGTAAGCCGGGGAGTATCAATTTTGAGTAAATTAGCGTCCTTAAATTTCGAAATATTGCAGTTTCAAGCATTTTTGAAATTTACCGTTATATGAAAAGCGTTATATGAAAAGCGTAAATGAAAAGCGGCCGTAATTTTAGTCCGATATCAATAATTTTTAAACTTTTGCTTTTATGTGGCAAGCACAATANAGTAAATTAGCGTCCTTAAATTTCGAAATATTGAAATTTCAAGCATATCTGAAATTTACCGTTATATGAAAAGCGGCCTCAATTTTAGTCCGATTTCAACAATTTTCAACGGTTTGCTTTTATGTGGCAAGCACAATAACCATACCGAGCTTGGTACAAATTGCTAGAACGGTTAGCGAGATACATATATGTGATCACAAGTGGGCGGTCCCACGCCCATTTTCCAAAATTTTACCATAAACGTATTTCTTGGTAAAGAATTGTTGCAATCATCAATTTTGAATAAATTAGCTTCAATATTTACTGATTTATCGAAGATTTTGTATTTCTCGAAATTACCGTTATATGGGATGTGGGCGTGGTTATTGTCCGATTTTAGAAATTTTCGGCCAGTTGGTATGCTGTACCAGGACCAACAACTGTGCCAAGTTTGGAAGAAATCGGTGGAGAGGTTGCCAAGACATACACATGTAACCATAAGTCGGCGTGGCTGAGCCCATTT